ATTTTTTAAATCATTTTTATCGATTTTATTTTTAAAAAATTAACAATTATAGATAATTACAAGTAAGGCTAAATCATATGGAAAACACATTGTAGCTTTCCTTACAAAATACCATGGATTGCTATATTTTTTCACACATAGTTTTTTTTTTATGATTTTTATTGAAAATATCTTTATCGATTTTATTTTTTAATATTGAGCATCACATGGAAAAAACAGAGTAGTTTTTCTCACAAAATACTATAGATTGGTATTGTGTTTCCCCCACAAGGTTTTTTTTCAGTTTTTTTCAAAATTATCTTTGTTAATTTTATATTTTTAATATTAAACTGGTTGAGGTTTTAGTTTTGTAATTTTTTTAAAAGCATCATAGATTGATGCAGTGTTTCCCCGCATGATTTTTTTATGATTTTTTTTAAAATTATCTTTCAATTTTATTTTTTTAATATTAAATTGGTTAAAAATTTAGTTTCATAATTTTTGTCTTTAAAATATTATGGATTGTTGCAATATTTCTTCTCGTGGCTTTTTTTTGTTATGATTGTTTTTAAATTGTCTTTGTTGATTTTATTATGGAAAACACTATTGTTTTCCTCATAATACGCTATGGATTACTATAATGTTTTTCTACATGGTTTTTTATTGTATTTTTTTAAAATTATCTTTGTTAATTTTATTTTTTTAATATTATAATTATAAGTAAGGTTAAATCATGTGAGGAAAGCACTATAATTTTCCTCGCAAAATAATATAGATTACTATAATATTTTTTTATATGGATTTTTTTTTTATTTTTTTTATTTTTTTTATTTTTATTTTTATTTTTATTTTTTTAATAATAAGTTCATTGAGAATTTAGATTTTTAATTTTTTTTATTTTTATTAACAAAAAAATAAATCATATAACAAAAAATTAAATTATATAAAAAAAATATTATAATTTTTTTTTATAAAATACTATAAATTACTACAATTTATTTAATTTAGTCTCTAAATTTTTAATTTTCAACACAATTTTTTTCTCTCATATACTGTACCTTCAGTTTCCATCATTTATCTACTATTAATTCATAAGTATAAATTATTAAATATATTTGCTTTATCAGCTCGTGGCTGGCGAGTATCCCATCTAGTCTCTGCACAGCTCATGTACAATTGATCGCGTGTCCCATATATTCACCACTTACATCCCATCTAGTCTTTCCATAGCTCACGTACAATTGATGGCGTGTCCATGTATGCACCACTCACATGAACATCTTCAAAGGACAGCATGCATTATTGATTTTGCACGATTTTGGAGTTTTTTTTATTTTTTTTTAAATTAGCATTGCTTGGAAAAATAACAAAATAATGTAGTTTGAAATTTTGTTTTGGTAAAATAGCACGTGGTATAAATTTCAAGGAGAGAAGAGTCAAACTGAAAAAAATATTGACAAAATAAATTTAACAGCATAAAGTAAGATTAGACCACACGAGCTTTTCTTGATTTTGCATCCGTACGGACAAAAATGCTGAACCTTGGACGGTGCCAGGACATCATGCAAAGGGCCCATTACCTCATATCATGTTGTAAGTTCTTTCCAAGACCAAATTACATATTTGACACCTTTTCTCTTTCCTATGATAATGCACGTCTCGGCGTAGAGCATGGTATTTCGGTTAAAATATTATTTGTATAAATTTATTTTTTAATTTTTTAATATATTAATATTAAAATAAGTTTTAAAAAATACAGTATTTTAACATATTAAAAAAATAAAAAGTAATATTGGCACAAATATTTTTTTTTCAAATATGAGATTTGAAACCCATTAGTATATATAATTTATATTTTAAAAAATAAGTTATGTTTTTTTAATATAAGATAAAAAAAAATTTGGTTTAAATACTTGAACTTAAAAAGATAATGTAGTATTCTTTCAATGTCAGATTTGAAACTCATTAATATATATAATCTATGTCCCCTGAAAAAAAGCTATCTTTTTTTAATGTAGAATTTAAAACTCATTAGTATATATATTCTATATTTCCAAGAAAAAAAGTTATAATTTTTCAATGTGAGATAAAAAAACTTTTTTTGGTTTAAATACTTCAACTTAAAAGCTTAACATAATATCTTTTTTAATATGGGATAAAAAAACTTTTAAAATATTTTTTAAAACTTCACCGTTTACAATATATATAACCTATATTTACATGGATTTTTTCTTATTTATCATATAAAATATTAAAATTTTTTTTTTTAATTTTTCCAGATTGACCTGAGTTGATCCATGAAACCCAAGACCGATCCCTTAGCTGGATTTAATAACTATGAGACAAATAGCTAGAAATGTGAAAGTTATTAAGTTAGATAGAAATAATAAATATTATTAAATATATATTAAAACTAAATAAAATCCAGGTCTACTTGCGTAAACTTCTAATGAAATATAACATATGTGCTCAATACAAGATACCAAGTATACCATGATAATATAATATACTGGAGTGGCATGGCCAGATATAGTTATGAGCATGTTAATTTATCCATTTATACCAATATTATTTTAGATGCATGCATTTAAAATTGTTATATATTTGTTAAAAAAAGTTCCTAGTAAGGCACATTTAAAAACACCTTATGAATTATAAACATGTAAAAAACCTAGTTTAAAGCACATATATGTTTAGGGCTGCCTATCAAGAGTAAGAATTTGTAATCTACAATAAAGGATATTGGATTCAAGAGCAACTAGTAATTTCTTCATTGATTATAAAAACAATCTGAAAAACATAAATTTTATTATCCTAGCTATAACACAAGAATTGTTAAAACTAGAAATACTAGATTAATTGAAAATAATGAAAATAGTAGGAGTAAAACCTCGTGTAATGTAAAAGTTTAAGAAGTTAAAACGCAAGTTCTTTTACTCTTTACCTCTTCTAAATTTATAATTCTCAAATTATTAAATAGTTTAATAGTTATAAAAAACAATAGAGGAATGATTATATATCCCACCATGAATACATTGTTAACGAACCTATAATAGATGAACCATAAGAGATAACATTAAGTAAGTCTTAGATACAAATAAACTCTATATTTTGAATTATTTTGTCGTGTGTCTATAAGAGTTGGAATCTGACTTAAAACCTTATTAAAATACTTGAAGATGGTAAAAGACTCAAATGTAAATGGGTATTTAAGATCAATCAAGACTTAAATGATAATATTGAATGATAAAAGACAATACTTGTTGCTAAAATATTTATTTAAAAAGATGGTATTGGCTATAAATAAATATTTTCATTAATTTATGAGAAATAATCACTTAGTATTATCATACTTTTTGGTATCTCATATGACTTAGAGTTACATTAAATGAATATGAAAACTTTCTTCTAAAAAGGAATTTTTAAAAAATATATAAATCAATTAGAGGGATTTTTAGTTGAAGGAAAGGAGTTCATGGCATGTGAACTTAATAAATAAATATACAAACTGAGATAAGTTTCTAGAAAATGATACTTCAAGTTTAATGATACTATTATTTTATAGTTTAAAGAAAAACACTATTAAGTGGTGTATATATTTAAAGGTTACTGTAAGCAAGTTTTTATTTTTTATTTTGTATATTAATAATATCTTGTTTACAACTAATAATCTTGGTTTACTAAACAGGACCAAGAAATTTCTCTCTTATAACTCCAATATAAAAAACATGGAAGAGACAAGTTATATGATTGGGATAAAAATATTCTAAGAAAGATCATAAGAGTTAGTGAGATTATCTAAAGAAAATGTATTAGTAAGGTTTTAAAGAGACTTAAAATGGATAAATACTTAAAAAATTGCATTCGAATTAAAAAAAAATAGATAAATGTAGTTTTATATAATGCTTAAAAATGGACTGGGATGCAAACAAATAGAAAGAATTCCATATGCTTTAATTATTGAAAGCTTCATGTATACTTAAACTTGTACCAGGCTAAATGTTAGTTTTGTTGTTATAAATCAGGCAAGTATGAAAGTAATCCAACTAGAAAATTATAATGAAAGAATTAAGCAACTTACAAGAAAAAAAAACTGCATTGCTCACTTGAAATAATAATATATTAGATTAATTTGTACTAATTTTAAGTAACTTATTAAATTTATGATCTAATATCCATAAAAAATAAATTAAAATAAGTGTAAAGCTGATTTTGCAATTAACAAAATATTAAAAAACAACTTAAAAAAAAAACATTCAATTTAAAGCAATGGCAAGAAATAACCCGAGTCACTAAGATTAATCTTCCAAACATATAACCTAAGTCATAAAAATAGACTAATTCCATGAAAAGCAAATTAAAAAAAATATAAAGTTTAATTTCTTACAAATTAATGTTGAAAGATAAAATTAATTAAATTAATTAAAAAAACAAATAATACCAAACTTGTAACCTAGGTTAGTTTGTCCCGAGTTACGAGACTGGATAAATCCATAGAAATCAAACAAAGAAAAACTAAAAAGCTTAATGTCCAACTAAACCAATCCGATATTAAAAAATAAATTTAAAAAAATAACAAAAAGTATAATTAAATAACTTGAATTAATTCAAAATAGATTATCAAACTTATAATTTGATTTATAATATAAAGATAACCTTATAAAGAGTAAATAAAAATAATAATTATGAAACTCAATTTTCAATAAATTTAAATATTAAAAAAATATTTTTAAAAAACAATAAAATAAACAACTTGAAGTAATTTAAATTATTATGTTAAACTTGTGATTTAATTTATGATATATAAATAACTTAATAAAAAAATAAAAAATTATGAAATTTAATTTTCAGATAGATCAATGTTAAAAAATAATATTAAAAAAATTATAAATTAAATATGAAGTTTAATATCCATGTACAAATGATAATTTGCTTTGCTATTTTAAAGAGAGTAAAATGTAGAAATTAAGGGAAAATAAAGAGAAAAAGAAAAGAAAAAAAACTGAGTTGTTGGTGCCAAAATGAACCTCCTCCCTGTACATTCGTTGCCTTGAAAAAAGAAGTTGCCAAGACGAGTGAAATTATACCGAGAAAGGCTGCCGACGGAGGTCGATGGCTGCCGCACGCACCATTGGTTTAAATGGTGTGTAATTGGAAGCACGTTGTGGTTAATACTGAAGGCATTACAAACAATATGCTTAAGATCCGTTGGTTTTGAGTTTCAAACATTTTTTTTTTTGGGGATAAAAAGCAGTTTGAAACTCAAAAATAAACATCCCCCTAGTTTTTTGTCCATTAAAACCATCTACTCATCCTCAAATGTTGGGAACATTCATCACATAGTCTCTCATTTTGGTTAAATAGACCCCTTTTATTTTATTTGTGGGCATTACAACTCTCATATTTTCAATTTGTTGTCACATGTGTTTCCCCACTTTCACTTCCTATGGCTTCCCTCATGGATCTTCTGGTATGTTTTGCTCTTTTTAGTTTTCTTTGATTATTTTTTATTATTATTATGTTATTGGTTTTTAGCTGTTCAGTGTGAAATGGGCGTTTGCTTTATCAGTTTTTGGACCGAGGAGATTGTGTTTTTGAGTCTTTTGATTCGTAGTTTTTTAATGTCATGCATAATGGATATATTTTTTATTGGTATAGTGAAGGATTGGGATTTTTAGATTCTTGCATCTACAAGCTTTGAGATGGTTTTGGATTCGATGTGATTAATGTTGTGATCTCATTGAACTAAATTTTGCATTGAGACAGATTTAACGGAAGGCGGTTCCTTATAGGGACGCTGGATGACGCTTTGTGGGTTTCATAATATTGTGCAATTTTCTTTCCCAGGATGACTGATTTGTGAAGAGGATGAAGGAGGAGTTAGACACTGTAATTTAATTGCTGTGCATGCTGGTTTAGAGAAAGGGAACAGTGTAGATGAACAGCTAAGGTGATGGTTCGGTATTAATTTTTTATTTTATTTTATCCAAGGATTGCGAGGACTTTCATGTGCTGAAACTGTTAGACCTAATCTGCCAGTTTTTCCAGCAACCTACCTTCTTCAGTGGGAAATGACTTGATGTTGATGGGTTTACACTTTCTGGACATTTTATATCAGCATTCTTCTTATTCGATGTATGACTGAAACGTCGATGTTTGATGGTTAATTTCTCACAGGAATTAACAGAGAAATCAGCCATTGTTGTTAGCCGCTACCACGGGAAACTTAAGATTGAGGATCCTAGATTGTTTCTTGATGAAGGTGCTGTTAGCGGCCGGCTTTTTCTCCCGACTAGTGACAAGCAGCACCTCTATTTCACAAGTTAGTTCCATTGATCTTTAAGCTCTAATCCTAACAATTATCAGAGTTGTCCAGCATCATCAAACTTTAGGATGGCTAGATGCCTGCTTCACTTGTTTAGTTGATATTCATGCGCATAGGTTCAGCTTAAAACCAGGTTTAGTTCGCCAGCACACAATCCTGTAGAACTCTATTTCTAACAAAATTATTCACTCAAACTAGAGTCTGGCTAGGTGTTAGGTTTCCAGGATTTCAGACACGAGCAATAACAGGATTGAATCTACCATAGGACATAAATCCTTCTTTCTTTCTTTCAGTTTTTTTTCAGTGGTAAGGGGAACCTCAGGCCAGCTTATGCATCAACATAGACTAAATCCCTTCAAGAACGATGTTAAATGCATAACATCCATATTGGCCAGGTGTATTCAGATGAACTTAGTAAGATTTTGTGAGTGCTGGTCTGAAAACTTGAATCTAAGAAATCAAGGGAGCAAATCTACTTAACCACCAAGACAACCCTTAGAGGTTATAGGACACCAATCCTGTTAAATAAAACATAGCACAAACTGCGACTCCATCCGCATGTTGGCAATATGTTCATATTATTCTGCCTAGGTGGGAAAATACATCAACAACTTGGAATTTTACTACTTGCGATTCCATTATCACACGACGATTCTATAATGTCTCGTCTTCTTTCAAAAATAGGTCAGCATTTCTTTCTGCAAAAAGCAAAAACCAGAAGGCCCACCATCAGGCAGCAGTGCCAACCTCACAGCACCTTCAGCTCCTTCTGCAGCGGTGAAGTAGCCGGTATTTTTACTTAAGTCGGTCTTGCAATAGCCTGGGGAGACACAATTGGCATGGAAATTCGGGTACCTTTTGGCCAGAATCCTAGTGTACGCATTCATGGCAGCTTTAGCAACAGTATAGGCAGAGAGTTGAGTCGGCCAACCTTTGGTTTTTAGCAACCCTTCCTTGAAATCTTTTAGAAACTCCTTCAAAATTTCATCTATTCTATCTCCAGTGAGGCTTTCAACATCATTCAGCAATCCTTTAACACGTCCATTGGGTATATTCTAAACCACATAGCAGGAAAATACTTGTTATCTAAGCTACATGGAAAACTAATAAATAACAGTAACGCAAGAAATGTTATCATTCAAGAGAAACAATTCAACCAGATTTCTGGACCCCGTAACTGATCTAGAAAAAGGGTTATTAAGTACTACCTTCAACAGTCCCAATTTTGAAGTAACATTTATGATCCTTGCTGAATCAGAAAGCTGGAGGAGTGGAGTTAGAGCTTCAACCATCCCTCTTACCCCATAATAGTTTGTTTTGATGCATTGTTCTGCCAACTCAAAACTTTGAGTTTCAATTTCATTCCACACTTCCTCCCCGTCTGGCTACATTTTACAAAGAAAAATCTTATGCCATCTATAACATTCAATATCAACAGAATGGCGATTACGAACAATAATTAGGACTTATCTCCCTTTTTTTCTGAATTCATTCCAAAGTCTTACCCAACAACCAGAAAGCTCGAAGGCTCTTTGGAAAGCATCAGCATTTAGCACAACTCCACTAATCGCAGCATTGTTCACCTGCACAGGGTTCCAATTTTCTCATAATGCACTTAAGAATTCAATTGTTCAACAAATTACAGGACCTAGAATCCAACAAATTTGTTATCTCACCAAGATATCAATTTTTCCAAATTTGATTTTGACAAACTCAACCAAAGAAGCAATGGAATCTGGGTCAACCACATCTAGCTGATGGAAAACCACAAGATCATCAGAGATGCCAGATTCTTTCATCTTTTGAACAGCTTCAAGGCCCCTCTTCTCATCTCTAGCTGTCAACACCACAACAATCCCATGAAAAGTCAACTGCCTACATATTTCCAGCCCAATCCCTTTATTTGCTCCTGTCACGACTGCATATCTGAGACAAATCAAGACTTTGTGGTTATTTATAGTAAGAGCATGATAGGAGTTCAAAGCAGCGCCTGAAAATGCAAAGTTGAGCTTGCCTCTTTGTTGCAGTGGATGTTTCTGCCATGGCGGATGAGGTGTAGCCGTACAGATGAATGCAGGACTTTATAAATCCTTAACAAATTGCGTGTCTACGCCCACACACGTATATGCTGATTCGGATTGCGTGTGATTCGGATACGTGTCACTTTCCAACATGACATTGGCAGCCACTACGTACAAGCCGCCAGTGTTGGCATTAGAATTTCTAGGAAATCACTGAGAAAGCGCGGAATGGTATTAACTTGGAGGAGTCGGTAAGAATCACAAACAGGAGATAAATCATAGACACGGGCTGGAATTCTTGTATCATAATTTCTTATAAAAAATATTTCTCCAAATCACAAGACTATCTATCTTCTTGCTAGGTCATCAATGGTTCGACGACTCCTACTCAGAATTCAGAAATCGTTGCCTTTTTTTCCCACAAATTATTCATGCCAGCATGAAATCGACTCCTGTTTGTAACTTTTGTGCAGTTTTTTTGGTGTATTATTATCCCTGTCAATTTTGTTTATTTCATATTGTTGATTAAAAAAAACAGTTTTTAGGTTTACTTGATTCATGGAAGGGATTCATTAGCTAATTTGGATTAAAAAAATTGATGTTTTTTCTTTGAAAGAAGGATTTTGAGTAAAACTAAGTATAAAATTTAGTTAGAAGGAAGGAATTAATTCCTGGATCCATTTACATGAAATAAAACTATTAATTTAAGCTCTTAAATATATGATTATTTTCTAAACCAAAACCTTAATGGTGGATTTTTAGCCCTTGAGTAGTTTTTTAATTATTTGTTAAAACTTTTAGCTTGATCCCTTTTTTAAAAATTAGCATAACTTCTTTCGTTTAGTTTTAAAATATCACTCTAAACAAGTGAACTCCCAAAATACCCCCCTAATTCCCTAAATTTTGGTGGCGAAAAATTCAACACATTAATACATTTTTCACCAACAATTAATTTGCTAAATTCCGCGCCCATCTCTATCATTAATTGGACGTGAAGGTCATATGTTGTTCTCTTAAATCAACAAAAATTCATAAATAGCCGTCAGAGATAAAAGAAAATCCACTTTGATTTCTTGATCATGATTTAACTCCGTTCAATTCAAGCCCACCACCTGATGATCAGATCAATAAAAGCAAATTGCGCTGCAATCGATCTTATAAACAAAATCCCAAAAAAGAAAAAGAAGAAAAATTGATCGGTTGCAACACTGCCTCCAGAAAATGAGCTCGGTAATATACATAAATAAATCCTTCTCATTAACAATTCATAGCTCAAGTAGATGAGCTATGGAAGAATATTGAGTTCCTGTTTCCATTACTTGCCCTTCTTCTGTTTCTGAAGTTAGCAAATTACGAGTCCACAGGAAAATATAAACCAAGAATATCGAGGTTGGATGCAGCATTTCAGACATGGTTTGAAGAAAATTACCCCCAACGGAAAAGATGAGTCGAGCCTTATTTCTCATGAACAAGGGGGCTGTAAACAGGGAACCACATATTCTGCATGACATATGCCACAGTCTCCTCCTGCATCCAAAATCACAGCAATAATAAATAGATACTTCAAAACATTCACATGGTAAAACTGATTAGATTATTCTTACAGAGTTGTTTCACAAGTGAAGGCTTGTAGACATAATTTATATACAAGGTATGTAAGGAATACATGGTAATTTCCTTGTATCAAGGCCTTAAGAGTGCAAATACTCAGTTACTTTTGACAAAGAAATCATAAGTCTGAAGGTGTTTATAATATATATATATATATATATATATATAAACAAAGAAAAAGGAGTTCATATTTGCATATATTCATTCCTCTATTTGTTTAACACTTCTCATATTACTTCAACATAGGTTCATTTAAAATAGAATTGTATTTTACTGGCCATATTTTTATCAAAAGGATTGCATTTACTCAGTAATGAAACATACTTTTGACATGTGCTTGAGCTCCCGGGGGCCCACATCACCATGTCCTTCTGCCAGGTCTTCTTCAACAGCTGCTTGCACAACAGCAGCCCCAACCTCTGCTGTAATATGTCGAATACTGCATAATTAACAAGATGGCATCAGTCAACAACACGCCTACATAACTTTTTTTTTTTGTGATGATGAGAACTGCCCAGTAAGGCAAGGCAACCATGGGTGTCGGCCACAAATAAGTTGCACTTTATTACAATATGAAAGCTAATATCCAATATCCATTGTCAATCTACCTCTCAAGTTTAATTACATGATGTTTAATTCCATCCTTGCCCTTACATGGAATGATTGGCTGCTCAAATTCCAGCAATAAGCAACAAGTAGAAAAATTAACACCCCCCCCCACCAAAAAATAAAATAAAATAAAAATAAATAAATAATGTAACCACCTACATCTGAAAACATTACCTATCAATAGATGGGTACAATATGCCCTTTTGGATTTCTTCATCCGTTATGTATGAAGCAAGGCTGTACAAATTAAATCATATCAGCAATTTAAAGGGAATAGAAACTTCAAGCCAAGTGATATAATCAGAAACATGGTAAAAAATATCAACCTAACATTAGTGAGAATTTGCAGAACTTTAGATGAACGTGTTATGTTTTCCGGGTTTTTATTATGAAGGTGATTTTTATTCACCAATAGTAGATGTTTAAGAAAATCAACTAAATAAATAATTCTGGAAGCATCTAGGCGAGCATGAATCATATGACAGCTTATTAAAACTATCGAAGCATAAATATCATAATGCAAAAGGATGAGAGAGTTGAAAATCATAAAGTTTATACAAACTTATAGATCTATCAATCCAAAAATATAAGATGCAGGGGTCACACCAAATGCCACCCAAAATTAGGCAGGCAGCTTATTATTTGATAATCATAGGACAATGCATCAGTTTGCATCATAATGAGCAGACTACTACTTCCATTGAAAACATTTAGGACCTTTCTACAGTAACAACTACAGTTTCAGGTTATTGCAAAACAGTTTCAGGTTAGGGAAAGGAGGCAAGTGAGCAAATTATCATGTCCATACCATTCAGCAGCTGCTTGCAACATTCCATCAGTTATAAAGTGTGCACCTGAGAGAAGAGTTCCCAAACCGATCCTGAAAATAGGAAATAAAATTATATATAACTTCATTATTTAAGCCTGGTTGGCAAAAGTCCAAGAGTAAAACCAGTGAGACACACGAACCCAGGAAACAGGTACATATTATTTGCTTGATTTACATGTCCTACTTTTCCATTTCCTGCAAACACAAATGATCATTGAAGGCGACAAATCATTGAAGTCAGAATTGAATACACCATGATTTAGAATGAACCTTTTATTACATGGAGAAACAGGAAAAATGCTTCTAGATCATCATTATATTCTGTCAAAAGACATCCAAACAAAATAAACATCAATACAAAAGTAATGTACCTAGATCAACATTTTCGAAAGGGCTTCCACTTGCAAAAACTATATTTGGTCCAGCATGCTTGAAAGCATCAGCAGCGTTGCATTCAGCTGTTCCATAGAAAACACAAACAGTCAACAAAAAAAATCTGGCAGCCATCATAAATTCTGCAAGTTTGTGGGGATTGCCGAGGCAAACCATTCATCGTGGGGTTTGACATGGAAAAAATAGCAGGTTTAGGTGAATCTGATTCTCGCATGGCCTTGAGCACCTGATTCATTCCAATCAATATTAAGATAGACGGAAGGGTAACAGTTAATGCATAATTATTTGACAGCAACATTACTCAATTTTTTACTTGGGGACTGTATGGAAACTAACTTACTAAGTTCCTAGTAAGGGCCATGTTTGCAGGTAGTTCAAAGTTCTTTTCTAAAGAAGATGGGATAAAACATTATTCATTCAGTATTTTATTTTAATTCAGGTTGATCTCATTTGTCTGAACACGGTTGTAAAACTAATGCCATAAAGACAATCGAACCCCTGCCAGTCATAAGCAAGGCAATACTGCATCAAACATCAGTAAAAGCTAATTATGGGAAGGAAAAGAAAGGACCAAGGACCTTACCGGTTCGTTAAAGATCCCACCAACTCCAGACAAACCAAGAAGCACATGGGGCTTCAGCTTTTTAACCTGAACAGGATTTAGCTGTGAGCAACTAGAACTCTTACAAAAAAAAAAATTCACAAATTTACAGAGTATAATTCCGAGGTTGAGCAGGTAAAAAGTATGCTTCTTCTTTCCACATAGGTCATAAAATTTCTGCCTTTAGTTCTAGTAAGTTTTACCACTTCAAGTAGACTAGCTCCCTCCCTAAGTCCTTCAACATCTTTTATGTCTTTAGCAAAGGGTGCTGCAGCTGGATCAAGATTTTTCCTCTCTTTTGTGATGAGACCCTGCATCCAGACAAATCTCTTTCTCAAACATAATTTAGTGAATGACGCCATGCATGCAGATGATATTTCTATCACACATCTATCAACAAATAGCCATTGATCATAAATAACATCTATTTATTCTCCTCGCTAACCAACAACAAAAAAATCACTAATATTATGCCTCAGTATAATAATCTCATAAAGCCATCAGATATCTGATCCATTTATCAAGGATAAAGACCTGATGGCATGTCAGAGAAGATATTGCAAATGCTGCAGTCATAAAGAACAGTGTAGTGTTTTACATCTTTATCAAGTAGATAACATTGATTCTTTGCAACCATTTCATTGTTCCCGGACATTCTTGAAAGAGCCTGTATTGCCATGGTAAGGACACCAAGCCCTGCACTGTAAGATGGAGAAAAGAAAATGTAAAATAATGCAGAGGATTAGCACATGCAAGCAATAGAAAAATCATTGTACGCTCATTACTTTCTTCTTTTTTCTTTTTCCCTTTTTTTTTTTTTTTTGGGGGGGGGGGGGTTAAAAAGATGAGAAAGTCAATGATTTTATGCAAGTACCTCCCGGCACCCACTACTACTATCTTTTGGTTAACAAAGTCAGACAATGGTCGGCCTTGCGCTCTCACAGTTCCAAGTAATCCAGCAAGTGCAACACCAGCAGTTCCCTATAACATCAAAAGTAAGCACAGTTACCATAACTGCAGATCATCCATGATAGTGTAGGGTCCTAGGCAATAAATTACATGCTCCACGTTATAATATACTGGCATACAACAGCAAGTACTCAGTACTCACCTGTACATCATCATTAAACATGCAAAACCTTTTACGGTATCTTTGCAGTGTTTCAAATGCCCACTTCATCTGAAAATCTTCGAACTGGCACATTTTCCAAATCATCAAGTTAGTGGCATGTATGAGACCACACAATTGGAAAAAAAAAAATTGACACTCTCAAAAAAAGGAAATACCTGTACAATGGCTTTGGGCCAGCGAGTATGAACAGCTTCCATGAACTCATCAACAATCGATAGATACTCTTCTCCTTCCAGCCTAGGTTGTCGAAGTCCTAAATCTGTGAAAACAAGTCGTAAGGTTTTTTGCTAGAAAGAGCAGATTCAAAAGGCACTTCATATAATACGTTATTCTTTAAAAAAAACAATAAATTAATATGATCCAAAAGGGATGGAATGGTATGAACTCGCATGCTTTACTCACAAAGAGGATCTTCAAGCAGCTTTTGATTGTTAGTACCAACATCTAACATAATTGGGAGTATCTGTTAGCCATGAACATAGGTTCAGTAATACAAGTGGTAACAGGTTGAGTAACAAAGCAGATAATATATCATAATGAGTAGAATTAAATATAGTTTCTAAAGTTAAAGAGACTCCAGATCTTCAAGCATACACAGCTGGAGCATTCATATTATATCTTTATACATGCAGATAAAAACAAGCATAGTAACAGCAAATTCTATATATAAATATTTAAACAGAGCTAATAAGTACACACAGAAAACCAGCAGGGAGAGTAAGAGGGGTACATACTCTCTGTGGGTTGATACCAGCAGCAGCAACATACATATCAAGTTTTCCAATAGGTATTCCAATTCCTTGAACTCCAAGATCACCCAGGCCGAGAATACGGCTTCCATCAGTGAGGACTATCATGTCTACCTGCACCACACAAATGGAATTTAAACCTATGGTCCTATGGTATAATGAATAGAGTGAAAAACAATCTTCATTACTCTATCAACGACAAATCTCCAATAAGGAAGAGAGGCAAAAGGAAGATTCTGTATTATTTGCCACCCTCATTCAAGATTCATACAGTACCTGTTGACCAGGCCAGTTGTAGATCATTGACATCATCTCTCCCTTATCCTTTGCACTAAAATACATTCCACGTGGGCGTCTAAATAATCCTGAGTAATTTTGACATACTAACCCTACTGTTGGAGTGTATATAATGGGAGCAAAGTCTTTGATATTATCAATGAGAACCTGGAGAGGAAAAGACATAAAAAGTAAAGCACATTAAATTTCAAATGGAGTTTAATATTTTCAAGATGAGATTTGCAACGGAACTTACTCGGTAGTATAATGTCTCATTCCTGTCATGTAGTCGATTCAAGATCCTCCATTTTGCTAAGGAGACAACACTGTATGGTTGGCCCTGAGTATTCTTCTCAAGGGACCTATATGATTCCACTAAAAACCAAAACACAAAAAACTTAATAATGTTAGTTAAAGTGCCAAACTGAGAGACCATTCATTTAAAGAGATGGAGCAGCCAAAAAGAAAACAGAAAAGCTTTCCTCAAAATTCCAGTTATAAAGAGGAGACATCAAATGATTCCAATAAACATGTTTCACAAAAGCTACTGCACTTTGTATTTAACAGCCTACCTAATTGACTGATTAGTTAATTCATGAATTATGAGATCTCAGAGGAAATTTTATTGTGGACTGATCGATTATTCCACTCATCAATTTATATTTTTCAACTTAATCCACAGTTACAATTCTGTAACCACATTAGCTTTATTTTACTTAAGCGAAAAGCAGATACTAACAACTTTAAGGAGGTCAGTGTTAAACTTACTAAAACGATCATATTGTTGCTCAAAGGATATAACACGTGGTGGAAGCAAACCACGTAGTCCTAGTCGATCCCTTTCAGTCAAAGGAAATCCTGTATCCTGCTCTTAAAAAAAAAAAACAAAAAACAGAAACCATGAAAATTTGAAAAATAAAATCAAATAAAAATTAAAAGATTTTATTTTGTGAACAGCAATTAGTATTAAAATGGTTCACAAAAAAAAATATTACATTTAAAAGTCTAGGATTTCAAGAAGATATGAGTTTACTTCAATCTTCAACAAATCCAACTCCAGAAAATGCAAAAAAAAAAAAAAACAAAAAGAAATTGCAAGATTCAATCTATGCAGAAAACCTAATTAAAAACTTCAATGTATCACAGTATTGTATTATTCAGCTAAATCAGAATCTCAGATTCACTACAACTCACGAATTCTACTAAATCTTGATCTTCCTTTTCTTGCTAAAACAACTAATAAACTAAAAAGAAAGATCCAGGAGGAACAGAGTAGCAGAACAACCATCTTGAAAATACCATTACAAATAAAAATAAAGAAATGTTAACCTTATTGAACCAAGGATCATGAAGGATATCAGCGCCACGTTTATGAACAATACAAGCACCAGGAATCGCAGCTGCGGATAAAAACCGCCGCTGCGACGAACTGCGCACATTCGACGCCACAAATCGCGCTACCTTCCACATTATTTTTCCCTCGATTCAATCAAGTCTAGAACTTCGCAGACCTTGCTAGCTGAATCGAAAAATCTAAAAAACAAAGAAAAAAGAAAAGAGCTTCACAGCATCTCAAATGTTGACTGGTAATAATAATAATAATAATTCAACCAAGTCCACGCTTGGGGTTTGTTCATAATGAGTTGATAAATTATTATTCACTTCGGGCCATGAAAGTATTTTATTTTATTTAAAAATATATTAAAATAATATTTGTTATTTTTTATAATTTATTATTTTATATCAGCCTGTCGTGATAGGCTGCCCAGTGATATAACGGGCAGGAAGGGCATGTGTTGGAATTTAAGTGACCGGGGGCCGGTAGCACGTGGGCGGATTGGATTTGAATCGGGTAGGTTTACGGCCACTTAAGCGGGCGAGTCTCCTGTCAATGCCTGCCACGTGGATTCAGATATTTTGGTTAATACTTGATTTTCGTTTTCCTTTTATATTTTTATTTTAGCTATTAAGGTATATATGTGGAACAATTTTCATGGTGCAAGACATTCCTAAAAGCAAAGAGTGCTAGGCAAACTACCATATCGGGATCAAAGTGTATTTACTAGAAATATTAAGCACCAGATTGGTTTATCTGATCATTTATGGGCTGTTCTGGAAATACAAACCCCTTTCTTTTCCTCCCCTGTAAAGAAAGTGTCCATCCTCGTTCATGCATCCACGTCTCCGACAAAGGGGGGACCAGAGATGTCTTTTTCAGAGTACGAATAAATTTTATTTGTAAATAATTTAAAATATTATTTTTTTAATCTTTTAAAATTTATTTTCAGTAATAGCACATGGTATAAAGATATTTAAAAATAAAAAATTTATTAACTTTTAAAAGTTCACTTTGTTGGAGGAATAAAATAAAGCATAAATCAGAAGATCTAGCTTGGGTGTACCTGGGTAGGTTTCGTCGTGTGGATCCCGTGTCAAAAAGTTCAATTATTTCTACCCGAGGAGGGCAAGAAGACACCACCATCATCGTTCATCGCCACTTAACGTTTTTCCGCATATTTCCTTTTTCACTCTTCTATTTCTTTTAATCATCTTTTGCGACGCAGCTGGGACTGTTTGACCGCTCAATGAGAACCCCAAGCTTGCAGTCAATTTCAGTTGCCAGGCAGCAAATTTGGATCATAGGCATCTGATTGTTTAGAGTCTCACCCAAATAGATCGCATCATTGTTCATTCTACTGTGTTATCTTTCACCTTTAATCCATCTTTTTCCTGAAATATAGTGCAAATACGTTAAAACATTGAGGAATTATAAGTCTCTGTCTTGGATGATGTTTTCTAAAAATATTTTATATTGAAAAATATATTATGATATTATATCATGTTAAAATCATAAAAAAATACTATAAAAATATTACTTTCTCAAATATTTACTAAATTCACAGCTCAAAAACTCCTTCCTCACCTGCCTAATGAATAGTCATCACAAAAAGTATTTCATACGTGTTTGGAACAAATTATTTTTTAAAGTATTTTTATAAAAGCATAAAAATAATATTTTTTTAATTTATTTTTTATATCAAAACAATTCAAAAACACAAATTCAAAATTAATTTAAAACAAAAAAATTCAAAATCTTTTAAAACAAACCAAACCAAAGCACCAAACACTCTGAAAGGCACACTTTTTTTTATCATTTTCCCAGCTGCGGCGAGGTGACTACGGTCTTTGTTCATTTGTCCTTGGTTTTCCTTCATTACGAGGAAAGGTTGTCCTCACTCATTTTCGACGTTTTATTTGTGGTCGAGGGCGACACATGGAGAAGGTCACTTTCACATGAAATAAAGAGTCCTGACCACCTTTGCATGAGATCGCTTGGAAGCCCTTCTCCACAGCCTGGGCCGCCCGTAGCTAGAAAGGTTTTCAGCTGCGATCTCGTAACTGTTACTATTTAACAAGCTTTCACACCCTACAACACAAGTCAATCAGTTTTTTCTCACCTTCTCTCGTTGCTCTGCTAATTCTTGCATTGTCAAAGTCAAGCCTTTGAAATTGAAGTTATGGTATGGCTCAGATTATAAAGAAAGGAAAAAGATAGCATCAAAATTGCAATTTCAAACATCAGTCTGAACATTTTCTTGATGGCAGAAAACAGGACAGGGCAATTTATTAACAGTATGATCAAACCCCCTCCTTAAGTTGTACGATTTAAATCTTATTCTAGTATTACCAGAACATTCTCAATTTACTGAAACCTGCAATCAAAAGATACAACAGGCGCTTTGCCATGCTGAAAGTTACAACTGAAGCTCCAAAAGTTACTGCACGTCATTGTAATCTTTAGTCCCAAAGTTCTTGCACCAGAGCTGTGATGGAATTGGGCGAACAGGATGATGTGGCCGTTGCTGCAATCAAAATATCTTCTCAGGTATTTAACAGAAACCAAATTATGATTTCAACCCCAAATATAAATTATAGACAAGTAGATGGTTGCTAACATTCTCTCTCTTCTCAGCTCCCTACTCTGCTCAGTTACTACTGGAGCATTGGACTTGTGTTAGAAAAGCTCCACACATATTTCGTAGATCATACTCATCCTTGTAACAAAAGGTGTCATTAAATTAAGTGAACACGGTATGAAACAAAGATGGAAAAACCAAAATATCCATGCACGTAAAATACATCAGCATCATGTCTATTTGATAGGAAGAGAGCTCCATAACAGTAATGTTTCAGTCTCTCGATAGAAAACAAAGAATGGTTCAACCATTCCCTGTCAGTCTATAAAACCTCTATATCAACTAGTTCCTTTCAACCTAAAAAGGGGTGAGATCAATCAAGGCTACAATCCATCAGAGGATCAATTAAAAAATCTATTCTCCCAATCTTTTTGTACCATCTCACAAGTCACAGCATTTCAGGAATGGATCAACATTCAATCAACTCATACCACCAGTCTCAGTGACCAAGTCGTTAGTCAACTTTTAAGAGTGAGGTCATGAAGACACCCCAGGGATGGAATAGTGCACTCACTAACATTAAAAAGCAAGTACATAGTTCAGAAAATAGCTCAGAAATGAAACTGGATGTGTGATGGTCAAATTAGAAACAATGAGAGAAAGCTAAAATTTGGCTGCTCAAGTAGTTAAACACCTTGGCTTTAAAACAGTCAAGTGCAAGACAAAAAGAATGACTTGCTTGAGATACAATCAAACACTCATCTCCAGCAGAATCCCAGACTCAACTAAACAGAACTTTAATCATCAAAACTTTTTTCCTTTGATATACAAGAAACTTGTGCATTCCTTCATTAGAACAATGCCCTGTGATATGATACATAAACTAGACATGGAGAAATATTATTACTTTTATTTAAAAGGTAGTGGAGATACAATTTTTAAAAATTATCTAATCTAGGTAGCACATTATGAGGATTTTTCCCTGTTTGTTCAGATCGCATCTCCTTCTTCACAAAATGATGGAGGAGATCAATCTTTTTATCTTCATTTTTAGGGGGCATTCCTCAATGGTCATGATTGTGATCAAGATAAAAGTGACAAAACCTATTAGAATTTCCCTGTGTTCATGCCACTCTTACTGCGAGGAAGGTACTGCACAAAATAATTTTCCTAAATGGCAAGAAATAATGGTAAAAGGTGTAGTTTAGGGAATGACGATCACAAATGGATCTCTTAATGCTCCTCTTGGATGTCTTGGTGAAAGATTGATGGTGTTGTTGAGATTCTGCTCTCTGAAAATAAGGGTGTCCTGGTCTGATATAACACTTGCTTCTTCTACTTGAGTATAGTTCTCTGTTGTTTATTTCATGTTACGTCTTGTCAAAAAAAATATACAAGCATTACTAGAAAAGATAGTTGTAGACTCCATTGATCAGAGCTTTGGTGATTAGAGGTTCAAGTATATCTTCCATCATTCCTTGTTAAGCATTTCTTCGTTAAATCTTTGGAGATATAATTTAGTGTTTGTCTTCTTGTTGGGTGATGGTGAAGAATGTTTTAGCTGAAAAACTAGTGTTGAAACAATAAATGAGCTTAACACAAAATCATGAAGGCCAAAGATGAAGTTCGACTCAAGATTGTGACAACATACCTCAACAAATCCATGAAATGTTGTCGGGAAAATTTTACATGTAGCGTTACTCTTTTGCGTTGCAAGCTATAGAATGCTTCTAACATTTTGTATGTGCTCTTTAGAATATATAAAGTCATCGCAATGATCCAAGTTGGCCTTTGCGAAGATAGTTTTTGGAGAGATAAGCGTGTAACACTTGGTGATTGACAAAGTGGAGAGTCTCTCACTTGGTGTGAATGGTATTCTTTCTTAGGAACTCATGCAGTTACTAATCTAGTCTCATGTTTAGGACTTTTTCGAAGGAGAGCATGCAAGCGAGACTCCAAAGAAGATTCACGGTGATAGTCACACATAAGATTATGACTCGTTAAAGAGTGCTCTTCATAATAAGAATGACTTCTTTGAAGAGTTGGGGTATGTACCTAATTTACACATAGTTTTGTCTTTTCCTTTTAGGAACTAGAATTATCTTTGTGCATCTAGTGCATGTAATGAAGCTATGTGTTGTGTCTCTTGTTGATGGAATGGAAAAGCGTGAAGTTGTTCTTGTATAACTAGAATAACATTATTATGCACTTGCACTAGGTAAGAGAGTTGGTGGAGACATGAAGAAGCTAAAATCCATAAACTAGGAAGATTAGTTATTCCAAATCATTAGTCATGGAAAGAATTTATTGTGATAGATATGAAAAGGGTTTAGTTTCCAAATCAATGATGTGGTCATGAAAAAACCTCAAACTAGATATGGGCTTTTCATGGTTACATCTACAGTTGGTGACTCATCTTGAATGTAGAATTTTATCTTCAGCCTGGGTTGTTCCTAAAAAACAAGTTCCTTGAGTGTATAGGGTACATTCTCATAAGAGGGAAGAATAATGAAAGGAAAAGAATAAAATGTAGTGAGTGAAGAGAAAATTCTTATGTGGACCTGTTCTCCTGGACTCTCTATATGTAGTATAGGACTTGTTTGTTCTTTCATATGATTATTTACACGCGGTCCTTGAACTTATTTTATGGAGAAGAAAATATTTTCCTTGAAAATTGAGTCCACAAATACTAGGTCGTGTTAGTCATTGGTGAAGACGTTGGTGACAACATTTTATTAGAAAGTCAGGGCTATTGTGCCTCACATATCATTGGTGGAGATGTTATCAGGAAATAATCATTAACTAGTTTGCACTATAAAGTAAAAGAACTATATGCATGAAACGTTTGTGGGTGGCTACTCGAAACTTGAAAAAAATGCATTAAAGCATGTTGGGACAAGATTAGGTAAACCATAGTGAGTTGAAATCAAGTCAAGGCTTGAAATGTTAAGTTTCTAGCTGTTCAAGCATAGCATTAAAGGTTTATAAAGCTAGCCATTTAGGCTAGGCCCTAAACAGCTAGGATTTCTACTAGTACGGGCAAGCCAAGACGAGTAAAAATCCAGCCGTGTGGGAAAAGCCTAGATGATTGGAATGCTGGCGGGCGCAATGCATGCATCAGCGAGTGAGTCACCGTGCCTTTAGGTAACATGTGTGGCCTACTCTAGCATCCAAAGACAGTCTTCCCATATGCCAATGAATTCGTCTTGTTGAGATTTTTTTTATGGTGATAGGAGTGTGGGTGTGATCCCATTTCTTTTTTTTCTTCTCCTCTTTCCTCCCTTGGTTTTTTTGTGTAATCTCATTTCTTCTTCTAGCCATTGAATTATTTTTGTTTATTTCATAGCTATTGAGTCTTCATGACAATTTAGGTTGATTATTCTTCATTACAATTTATTAAAAGATTGCATAGGACATCCAGAATTGTTTTGTGAATACATGAAAATACATGGTCCTTCCTAGCCATTTGGGCTAACTAATAGTTGTTTGGGTTAGGCCCAAACACCTATAATTTTTTTTAAATGGCTAGGACTATTGTATGTTTAGGCCAACTTAAAGTCGTTAGGGTTGGGCCTAAAGAAATAGAATTTTTTTTATTTCATATTGCACCATCATTTGCCTCTCAAGTCTTTCAAGCAATCATGTTTGGGAGACTATGACTAACAAAAGTGAGGAATATTTACTTTATAAACGTTACCTTTTATGCCTGCATGAGAGGCCCCATAAAAGTCCTAGTAATTTTTGTTAACATTTATGTAAGAGAGAGTTGGGGGTTTGATGAGTTTGTTTGTTCATCTCACAGCTGGGAACATTATTATTTAGAAAGTAGAGAATACATTGTGTGAAAGTAGTGTTGAAGAATTGTGCAGGGAGATATTGTATGTAAACATGTAGATTTCGATATAGATCTTGCCATAGAGATTTTCATGGGAGATGTGTTTGGAGACAGAATTCATATGGAAACATGGAGATTTCAATGAAAAAACAGAGATCTTGCTATGGAGATTTATTGTTAGAGACCTAGAGATATGTTTGGAGATTTCATAATGAAATTTTTTTATAGAAGACAAGGGAGATGATGGTGAAGCGAAAATTTTTTAAAAAAAAATCTAGCCATTGAAAATCCTAGCCTTTTGGGTGGCCCACATGGATAGGAAGGGTCATGCATTTCCAAAACAATTATGCATGTCCCATGCAACCCTCCCATTAATTATAATGAACACAATTCAATCCGAATTGTTATAAATATTAAATGGTTATGAAAGAAACAAAAACAACCCAATAGTCCGAAGAATAAATGAGATGGCATAAAAAGACAAGGGCAAAGAGAGAAGAGAGCAGGAAAAAAAAGGAATGGGATGTCAGGTTCACAGCCAAGCTCCAATGACGACATCCTAATACTACCAAAAAGATCTCAAAGAGACAAATCTATTGACACCTTAGAAGGCCATCATTGAAGGCTAGAATGGGCCACACATACTGCCTAAAGGCAACAAATGACTAACTCATTAATGCGCGCATTGCACGTGCCCACATTTCATTTATTTGGGTCAAGCCCAAACAGCTAGAAACCTGACATTTTGAGCCCCAACTCAATTCTAACTCACATTGACATGTCTATTCTCGCCTCGGCACATATTTTTATGCATTTTTTCAAGGTCCCAAAAGTCTCACACAAACTTTCCACGCACACAGTACTTTTTCTATGCACGTGGTACTTTTTCTATGCAATGCAAGCACTGCTTTTCTAGCCAATGGTTATTTTCTAGTACCATAACTTGTTAGCATCTCCACCAATAGCACACATGGCACAACAACCCTTAATTTTCAAGAAAAATGTTACCACCAATGTCTCCATCAATAACAAGCATGGCCCAACACCAGAAGACTCAATTTTCTAAGAAAATATTGTCCTTCTCCATGAAGTAAGTTCAAGGATTGGGTGAGAATACTCACGTCATGGACTCTACACATCCTTCAGGAGAGAAAAAAACAACTTTACAAAAGAATTTTCTCCTCTCTACACTTCATTTTATTTTCTCTTACGTACATTTTTTCCCCTACATTCACTAACTTAAGTATCGGAGTATCTTGTTCCTAGAAGGAACTTGTTTTTTAGAAACAAATCAGGCCATAGATATAAACCCACACTCAAGACCTGTCACAAACCAAAACGCAGCCATAGAAAGCCCATATCTAGTCTGAGTTTTTTTCACGACTACATTAATGTCATGACCACCAAAAATCAAGTAAAGAAAAAACACATTTGACTTAAGAAAGCTTAAACGGTCGTCTTTGCTATTCATGTTAGAAACAAGTGAGATGTTATCAATTGGAACCTTTATCATTTGGCAAGAAGAGCTATTGAAAGTTAGAGCAACAAAATTTTGCAACATAAGCAAAATAAATTACAGGTGCTCTAAGAGCCCTACTCACATGAAACTGGGACCCATCATTATGTGAGTGGAGCATTAATCCCAAAGCACTTGCTGGAGAGCTTACAAGGGAAATTAGCAGAAAGACAAGTTCAAAGTGAATGGGTTTTCTGAGAGCTAGGGGTGGAGAGTTGCAATGCATTGGTGGTGATGGCAGGAACCCAAAATGTTGGAAACAAGAATATAAGATTACCAATCAATATAGCTAATCCTTTTCAATATGTATAAAAGAAACTTAATGTAGTCTTCGACTGAACACAGCCGGTGCACAAAAACATAAGGAACTACAATCTCATAGACTTACACCATATGAACATATTTGAAATACCTAATCTCACAAAATTCAAGGACTCCACGTTTGTAATAAACAACCAGTAAGCCAATTATTTATACAGCTAATCATTCACTAGATACTGGACTTGTTGCTACCTTTATGATGAGTAAAAGTGTTAAAGGATCGATTAATGTAGACACCAGAGGCACCCGTCCACATACAGAAACAAAAGGAAGTAGCAATAGCAATGGGTCATATGAGTTGCATACAAAATGTATAATAACAATATCATAAAATTTAAGGAAACCTCTACTTAAAAAAAAAAAACACCAATAAAAACAACATTGCTTGCCCGGTGTCCCAATGATAGCTAATCCTTTCGCATGGAAGACCTCACTATTTGACACTAATTAAGCAGTTAATTAAACCCAGTAATAACAACCAATATTGGATATTAATTCTATCGGAATTGAGAAGATACCGAAAATCAAAAGCTTAAAACAAGTTAATTAGAGCTAAAAACGATTAACTAGACCAAACCAACATAAGTATGTCAACACCACTAATTGAATCGCCGTCTACAACACTGTTTTAAAGATCTAAGATCCAGAATTCAAACATCTAACCATTCCCACAACCAAACAGAAAGAAAATATAAAATTAATAGAATGAGAAGGGAGACCTCGAGTTCAGCGGATTTCATGGCGATGGGAATGCAGATGAGGAAGACGCCGAACATGGCGATGGCGGTGTTACGGCGCCAGTGCTTAGGTCTGCAGTATGGACCTCCACTCATGCTCCATACCTTCGCCCTAAAGTCACCGTGGGCCCCCTCAGCTCCGTGTCCATGTTCTGCTCCTCCTCCTCCCATCTTCGATCGGGCTGGTCACTCGCTAAAAAATGTATTTGAGCTATTTTTACAGTAAAAACCCTGACAAATAAATTACTGGCAAATTAGCAGAATTTACCAGCGAGATGAATAGTCAGAGAGAGAGAGTGGAAAATGAAGATGACGGGCTCTGCTTTGTTATAGTTGTTGGGATCTTTCCTTTCCAGATTCCTTCCAAGCGTGGAGTACTGTGGACGGTGGAGTTACCGGAGTTGGTGTTTGGCGTGTCGTGAGTGTGTTCGCCTTGAATTGACGTCGTTCGTGCTCTGGAGGGTATTTTTGTCTTCCCAACTCTCCGGACTCGACGAGGTGAGGCAGCAAGAAAGGGCTTTCAATAAACAAAAGGACTAATAGCATTTGGGCTCCTATGTTAGCACGCATGCCGCCTTCTATATTTGTTTGAAGTTTTCTTGTTTTTTTTTATTTTCTCAAATGAAAGCTATTTTTCTAGTGGTTTTTATTTTTTAATTTTAAAAACCACAGCTAATAACTTTTATGATTTTTTTTTTCTCTTTCACTCCACTACCAAGTACATGGGGCAAGAGAGAACGCTCTAGCTGATAAAATTAAAAGGGTCATCTTTCTCCTCAGCCTGCTTTCTACCCTGCCACATTTCATAGGCTGGTACTCTCCCAAGCCATGAAAATCTGAACTTGAAAATGACAAATTGCATAGTCCACTCCCAAGTTGCATAATTTAGTTGAAGAATCTCTGTTCTGGTATTTTATTTTATTTTTTTGGGGGGCACTGGTCAAAGAAGCAAAGAGATGGAAATTCACAATACAATTAATTATACACTACATTTTTCGTACAATTTGAGAAAATGAACAGGTTTACAACTCGAATGTCTCACAGCACGAGCAACAAAGATCCACCTTTCATGAATCCTCCAGTTTGGCAAAACAAAAGGGAAATTGATATCCATGCTATATCCTCAGCAGTAGCTTACATGAGATGATGAGATAGGGCTAAAATATATCTCCATGTATTTACGTTGAATCAAGCGTCAGTATGACACCATCTCTGAATGAGGTGGGCGATATACATAGTGTTTGAATCAGTTTTGAAATATCCATGGATATGTCAGCTGGCGATGAGACTCCACGATAAACCTGAAAAATAAGTGTTACGTATTTAAGAGCCACCACATGCACATGTGCCAAAGAGAAAGGTGCATTCTTAACCAGAAGAAGAATAAATGTATATTCCATGTATTTCTTGAGGTGACAGAACAGTGAGAAGGATAAAGGCAGAATTGAACAACATGTAAGTAAATTATCTGATGGATTGAGGAGCAATCAGATGAATACGTGATAATCAAGCGATGCCTGAACCAGGAGGACAACAGACAATCAAATGAAAACGCCTTATTAAACTTCATCTGCTTACCGAAGATGCAGATACTTGCTTGATCAAAGAGGTGTTGTATCCTCTAACATGTGCAACAGTTTCAGCCATTTGAACACGAGATACTCTGTCAGGTCCACCAACATTTAAGAGCAACTTCATCTGCTTACCCTCTAGGACAAGCACCACCAATATTATGATGATCGGGCCAGATCCGATGTCAAAGCACAGAGGCAAACAGGCAGCAGGAAAAATCAAGAAGTGAAATTCCAATAAAGAAATATCTAGTTACCAACTACAGGAGAGCTATGAATTTCAGTTACATTCCCATCACATGTTGGTACAATTGATCATACTTCAATAAGCAAAAAAAGAAGCAACTTATTTTAACACCATTTAGTTTTACATAAGAGAAAACGTGCACAAAGGAAAAGTAATGAAAGGAAAGGAAAAAAGAAAAGAAAAGAGGTTTCCAGAAAAGACAGCGTTATTAAAAAAAAATGTTGAAAAGAAGAAGCTTTGCCAAGTTAGATGATTACTTTAATGAATGTAATCTCTTTCGAGAGGTCAAAACACAGAGCATTAGACAAAATGTAACTCTTGCTTTCCCATCAAAAGTTCTTCTACGTTCTACCTAATGTGAAGAGCATTGTGTAGTTTATCAATGTTGGGCTAAAGCATGTAGTTTTTTTATATGTGAATATAGATGCATGTAACTGCATACCTATTATCCATTTGTTTATCAAAGACAGTATAATGGTCACAACATCCTTGACATACACTGGGCAGCGGAACTCGTCATGGAAGAACTCTACTTGTTCTTTTTTGGAGAGGACACCATCAATCCACTGCATCGATTAGACGTCACATATCGGTTAGACAACAGGTAACCATAGAATCCAATTCATTTTGTATCTTCGCAAGACAGAGAATGCAGAGTGATAAGAGTACAAATGTAAGGTCTACATTCTATGTGAGCAACTGAGCACCTGAATTGGAAGTGATTTTTGGACGGGAGAGATAGTTTGTGGCCCAAAGATGATACTGCTTCTCAATATTGCATGGTTTGTCCATGTCTTAGAAATAAACTGCTCTGCTGCCACTTTTGATTTACCATACACATTAACAGGAACAGTTTCGTCTTCTTCCTTGTAGAATGATTTCACCCCTTCATAAACTGATTGTAAAAGACAATAATAAAAGGATCAATGGATCAAACCAAAGACGCATTCCAATTGGGCTTCACAATGGAAAAAGCATTGATCCGGCACAAATCAATATGCATTGGGATGATGGAAATATAACAACTTAAAGTAACGATCCCAACAGCAACACAATACTAACTGCTCGCATTTAGATCCATGTGATGTTAGAAGGACTGGAAAGTTAATAAACAACATCTTATTCATTTTGAAATTCCTCTGAAGGGTTCATCATTTGTATTCTACAAATATTGTAAGAAAACAAAAACCCATCTAGTATTGAAGATTTGATATTATGCTTCGCTTTTCCAATTCTCTAACTTTATTGACCTGATAGAAACCTACTCAATGAATGTTGCCAACATAACAAAACCTTAAACATTAAGCACTCCAGATAGAAAAATTTTCAAAAAAAAAGGATCAAGTTCAATTAACCTTGATCAGTTGATAAATGGATAAGTAGAGTATCTCTCTCCTCGAAGCTCGACAACCAGTTTACAAGAGAGCAAGGTACATTTATAGACATAGCAGCATCAGGGTCCTCCTCACAAACACGAGGCACAGACAGTGCAGCACAGTTCACCACAACATGAGGCTGACAGACATTTCAAAAAAAAAAAACTTCACGGATCCTTGAAATTAACGAACAAACTGGAAGAGAACTGAAGAATTTAAATTTTTCTAGGGGGGGTTTGTACCTGGCCGAATTTGGAGGCGATGGAATGGAACCCGTCACCCGTAATTAAATCAACATGGAAAGCAAGAGAGTGAGGGATGGCGTCAAGCAAGGGTTCAAGAAGATTTGAATTGGAGTGGTAAGTGAAAGCGAGATCGTAAGGGGCGCTGTCTTTGATTCGTGAAAGGGATAGTAATACGTGTTGGCCTAAGTAGCCTGTCCCTCCTACCACTAACACTCTCTTCGTCTCCATCGCAAATGCTGTAAGCGGAGTTTCCTGGCGGTGGAGGTGGTGAGTGGGTGAGCGGGTCGGGTGTGTTGGTTCTGCTTATTTTTTTGGATCAGATGAGGTACGGGGACGAAGGTTCGCCTGTCAGTTTTCATTTTTTTTCCATAGTTTTCGATGCAAATACTCTTGAATTTTAAGAACCATCGCATGTATTGAGAAGTTCTTGTTCATAAATATCAAATATACTTTCTTACTTAAAAAAAAAATCAACATAATATAATTAAAAAATATATATACTTTGTGTCAAAAAAAATTATTATTCTTGATATCATAATTTATATAATATGATATGAAATATATGCCAATACTAATGTGTAAATTCATATTTAACTTTGATTAAAAATAGATTAAAACCTTATATAATATAAAATATTGAAACTTTATTTTGATTATTAAAACTCTAAAAAAAATCATATTAACAAAGATGGGTTATTAAAATCTCAAAAATAATAAAAATTTATCAAGAAAAAAATCGTAGTTCTAGCGTTATCTCTTACTGAGATGGGTTATTGAATTCACGTTATTTCTTTTTGCCGTTGCCATTGATGTTAGAAGTAGAGTCCTTTAGATAAGACAATTCATAAATATTTTGTTCATGCCCTGATTTTTAATTTTTCCACATGGCATGTATATTTAAATTTTAAAAATAATAAAATTACATCAGAATTCAATAAGTTATTAAATTAGATTTTTATATGTATATGCATAGTACATCCTTGGTTATTTTCTCAATGCTATCCTAATTTTATTGTACTATTTTTATGAAAGATTTATAAAAATAAAATATCTATTTTTAATACTCTTTTTATCATTACTCGCCTGGGATAAAAGATTTATACTATTTTTATTTTTTATAGATAGCATATGTATTTAAAACTTAAAAATAATAAAAGTGTATCAATATTCAATAAATTATTAAATTATATGTATTTTTTATGGTAGATCCTTGGTTGTTTTTAATGCTATTTTTGACTTCTTTGGAATAAAAGATTTATATTTTTTGACAAACTCTGATAATATTGAAAAAAATTCCTTGGTCAGAGGGTAAAATAAATGTTCTATTTATTTCCATATTTTTTGCTCTCATCTCATATATATAATATATTTTTTTTTTATAAAACTAAAAAGTAAAACTACAGTGCAGATATAATTATGTTAAAATTTGTGGAGCCTTGGATAAATTTATATTCACATTTGTACCTTATGTGTTTGTATTGTATACAAATGACTTTATTCAGATTTTATATTCACATCTGTGAAATACACGTGCAGCACACGTGGCAAGCATACCAGTGCTGCCAAGTTAAGCGAGATCAAAGGTGGTCGGTGGATTACATATTACTTGGCGTACTACATATGTTATTGGAATATTTCATGGATTAATTTATCACTATATCGGTGCTAAAAAATAGTATTATAAAATAATTGTTATGAAAATATATCCAGCACGGCAATACTTTAGAATTACCCCTCACTCCGTACGCTGATCACTTTAATCAAGGTACATGCAGTTGTTAACAACTAAGTTTTACTAGTTTATTGGGCGCGCTTCCTCGCGATCGGATCAATCTTTCTAGATGTAAAAAGAAATATGTCGAAAGTGTAGATAGTTTTTTTTAATAATATTATTAAACTTGTTTGGTTAAATTAATTTAAAAAAAAATTATTTTAGTTATTTATCTAACTTAAATTTTTAATCAAACTATATATAAGCTGACTCTATTTAAATTAATTGATTTTATAAATTTATGTATAACTTAAATGATCAATGAAAATATAATTTAATTTTAAAAAATTTCAAAGTGATGATTTGAAAAAAAGTATTGAGATAGCGATATGTTAGATTAATTTTAATCCCTCCTGCAACTTAGATCGTGAATTCTATTTCGCTTAATAAAATTGTTTATAAACTATTTTTTTATTTGAACAATAAAATTGTATACTCCTGAAATTGACACCGGTCCTATATATATATTTGAGATGGAGGCAACATCGTAAAAAATAAACATTATATATTGTGTCCTGACTAATAAAATATCAAATATTAAAATAAAAAAATAACAAAAAATAAAGGATCAAGAACAAAAAAAAAATACATATTCAATTAATAAGTAAATTCATCAAATTTGTAAATTGAGTAATCTAAGTTAGCATGTCAAAAACATGATTTAAATTACAAACTTACTGAAATAATAATTTGTCTTTTAAAAACTATTTTTTATTTGATTATATAATAGTATAAATAGCCGCTCATAAAATAGAACATTAACCCAATATGAATATATTTTTTAAAGATTTTTATAAAAAATAAAATAAAACTGGTTGTTTAAACTAAATTCTTAATTAACTCAATATCTATGATTAAAAAAAAAAGTTGACATCACCATTCTCATGAGTTAAAAAAAAAAGACACCCTACTAGATTTGTAGTCCGAAACAACTTAAACTGCATTCACTTTGATCTTGTAAAAAGGCACGATGAAAATAAATAAATTATAAAACTGAATTCTCGATTACTTTAATATTAAAAAAAAAAAATTAATACACTGTGGATTATTATTGTGATCTACAATGCAACAATAGTTGAACATAAATTCTTCCACACCCTGTGGCTTGTATGTCAATAAAAAGGATTTCTCTACATGTTTTCACATAAAAAAAATAAACAGTTAATGTATACATGTAATAAAATAAATCAACAATTATATATGTTAATAAATAAATAAAAAGAGTTATAAATGATAACTAAAAATAAAAATGAAAAAATAATATACATATATGGATTAAGACATTTCACCTCGCAAGATAAAATATTTACTCGATTGTATTTTCTAAATTTTTTTATTAAATAATTTTTTTTAATCAGACAACAATTAAAATAAATATACACATTAAATTCACTGAGTAAAATAAAAATTAAAAAAATATACAATGCAAAGTGAAACATATTAAAAATAATATATGGCAATAATTTATTTATTTTTGAAAAATATAAAGTTTACATGTTAAGAAAAAACTATAGACAGGTAAAAAAAAAATGCCTTCAAAAAAATTAAATACATAAAAAATAACAAAAAAATCATCATTTAAAAAAAGCTTCATAAAAAAAATATTATTAATTTAAATACAAATAAAAAAGCATATTAATATAAAAAAAATATTAAAAAGAAAGAAGCAAAAGGTCCAGCATAACTAGTCTGACAAATCAGGCTACCACATATATGTTTTTTTTTGTTACTCATACTATTTTTTCAATTAAAAAAATAAATAAAACGTCATGTGATTTTTTTCATGTTCAGGTTGTCATGGTAATTGACAAATCAAGACTTAAGATTTTACAATCCGAATAGATATTTTTAATTTATTATTGATTACAAAACACATAAAAAAACACTATAGAAATCATGGTAAATTTATTTATAGCCTCAAAAAACTATATAAGAAACTTAAACCCAACCTGAAATACATATAAAAAATTATGAGTTTATATTTTTTTTTTCCACAAAATTTAAAGGTATAAAAATACTTACTATGAATTTCTATATATTTGTTTTATAAACTTTAAAGGTACAAAACATCCATTATGAATTCCCATTAACAAATCTAACATTTTGACATGAATATTAACAGTTTTAGTGATTTAAATCGGTGTTAATGACATTTTACTTTTTTCATTGTTGAAATCTAATAACCTTTAATTTTTATTTTTTAAATTAAAAACTAAAAAAATAACAAAAATAAATTTTTATATTAAAATATAATTAAAAAAAATATTGAGGTACTGAGCATGTATAATTTTCAAAGTATGAAGACTAAATTAATTTTTTTGTATATACTTTTAAATCATTAGCTATTTATGGAGCATTTTCTACTCTGATCCCTTGCCTTACAATTTTATTCCCAGTTAATAAATTTGATTTAATTGTTATTGAATTTAACCAAAAAAATAATGGATTGAAAAAAAATGGAGAATCAAATTAAAAAAATAAAAAATAAAAAAAATAAATTCACAGTAAAATATACAGGTATACAATATTAGCTCGGCAATACTCGCATGCATTTTAATTTTAATTATATTGAAAACGACCAAGTTTTATGCAATTTTTAAAAATAAAATAGCATGTAAAAATAAAAGTGAAAATCACTATACATGCACATTGAATTTAATTAGCAAGAAAAAGCGATGAATACTCGCGAAACATTGGAAAAATTTCCAAATTGTTACCCTTTGTTGTAACCCAATTTTGGATTAACTAAAATTTTTTAGGAATGTTATTTTATCTTATTATTCATGACAAAAAAAATATAATAGATAAAAAAAAGAAAAAAAAAGAGTTTAAAATATATTTTCTTGAGTCAACCGTCATTTTCTGTCAAAACCGAGTCCACCAGGTCAATACGGGTTAAACGATGTCGACCGGGATGAAAAATAAGTTTCAGGACGTTT